TACATCACTCTGTCACTAGAAAAATAAATAAATCAAAGCCAGCTGGAATGAAACGCACATAAATGACCAATTTGCTGTTCTCTGGTGCAGTTACACCCGCATGTCACGTAGTTACAGTATAAAAAGCGCCTGCATGAATCATATGTTGTACAGATGCTGGATGTCTCGGGTTGACTGAGTTGCTGACGACAGCTGTATGGGTGAGTTTTTTTTTTAAGTCCCGGAAGATGAAGAGAGAGATGCCTGCTGCCTCCAGAATGCACAGATTAGACTCTCTGCCCTGTGTACTCTTCACACCTGAACAGGCAAACAAATAAACCTGCAGTGCTACCCCAGAATGCTCAACACTCACGATTCATATTTTATTTTTCCCTCCAGCTAACCGAAGAGCTTATGCAAGGAGTCAAAATCAGCAGGTCTCCAGAGATATTTTACTGTGTATGTGTGTGCCCAGCTTGTACTGTACTATCCACACCAACCTGGTAAAGTAGACTCTGCAATAGTTGGCAGCAAAAAGAGGATGGGATATTTCTCCCGCCATCTGTTTACTTGCTTCAGATCATTAGTAAAATATTAGTGACAATGCCAGCAGCGCATTAATTGAAGGTGTCAAACTTCCTTCTTTGGCTCACAGTCACCTCTATCCAACACTAACCCACCTCAGCAGAATCAGCCCCACTTATACAATACATGGGATATCCCAGCACTGTGCAAACACTGTGAAAGGACATACTGTATTCCAATTGTCCTTGTGTCCTTTGTGTCATATCAACAAAAACACAGAGAATTTAAAGTGACATTCAGGGTAATATCAGTGTTTTCAAAATGATATAGTTACATTTATTAAAGGCTTAAAGGGGCCCAATTATGCTTTTTTTTAAGTGTGCCCTTTCTGAACATTAAGGCATGTAAACATGTGGCAGTAGAGGCACAAAATACAAATATGCAACCTGCACATTAGCATAATAGGGCCTCTTTAAACTTGGAGATAAAAGGAGAACAATTTCAATAACATATACTCCAAAAAATAACAATACACTGACATGAATTGTCTGTATTCAAACAGCTAGATTTTGCAAAGGTACTTATGAGTCAGTTACTTTAGAGACATCATTATTAAACTACCTAAATAAGTGCGGCTTGGCACTTGTTTTTGTTTTGCAGTAGTACCATTATAATGTCACACTGTGTTACAGTAACACAAATAGAGAAGTGACATAAAGATAGCAACTTTGAGGAACTTTGTAAGTGGCAGCAGCAATGTTGATTTAATGTGTGTGACCAAAAGCTAGGCATAAGATGATTTCTAGTGAATTGTGCTTTATAAATACTATAATTTGAACATTGAACATTGTGTAACACACTTTTAAAAAATCTATTTGCTGATGGAAGATAAGGGGATATTATTGAAGACGTTATACTGTACCGTGAATAAATGGATTCATGTGGTCGAAGTTGATAATCATCACTCTAGTGAAATCAATTAGCTTCTCAGCTCTATTCTGTTGACAGCCATTGTATACAAACCTCTGACAGCGTTAGGAAAATCCTTCTACAGCGTATTCGTTAAGTGAAACAGGCTGTGAGTAGCTTTCAAAACCAACACATTATGCATTGGAAAAAGTATTCCCACAATTATAGAAACATTGTGTAAACCGTGTTGTGGTTTTGCTGAATCTTAATCACTGCATTGAACCAGCGAATAAACCGCATGAATCATTGCAGCCAGCAATAATGGAGTTTGTAGCTGACATGAGCAGCGCTGAGTCAATTGTTGTGCAACACTCACACACAGTTCATTGTTAACACCCTTGACATCTAGTCATTAGTGATCTGCAGCGCAAGGACGTGACACATGCTTGGCATTTATATCAAACAACACATTTGCATCCCACTGACTGCTCTCTTTGACATCTGCCCACATTAAAACACTCCCACAAAGCCAATCTCTCGCCGTCTCCCGGCAGCTAAAACCACAGTTCACACACGTTATTATCTCTGCTGCAGATCATTTCCCTTCGTCCTGCAGGAGGCAAAGGAGGCCATGTATGTATGTTTGACCGAGCCAGGGAGTGTAAAGCAGTGGCTAAATCTCTGTAAGCAGGCCCTGGCACGGATCCCCAATTGCCGGCCTGCTGTGTGGGCAGTGGGCCTGAAGGGGACTAATCCCTTGGCATGGGCTCGGGTCACACATGTCGATGTGTACGTCTGTGCGTCTGCAGGAGATCCAAGCTGCAGGATGAAGACCTGGCGAGGGATTCAAAAAGCCCTGCAACGCCTCCACTTCTTAAAGCAGCCCACACAGAGTCTCGCATGCTCCTCGGAGATGATGGGTAATGTTTTTGGAGGTGTGCCACAGACAGGGACAGCCCTGCTCTTACATAACCTCGGTCTGCGGGAGATTGCGTTGGAGTGTGTGGCCTTTGACCCCTACATGCTGCTCGGTTTTTGCTTAAGTGGACAGCAGATGTGAGGTTGTAAAAAGTTGACTTGCTGTTTCAGCCTCTTCAAGCTGCAGAGGGCTAAGAGGGCGCGACACCTCTCCTGTCGGTCATCTTGGCAATTAAGGTGAGCTGGAGGGTGGCTCAGGGGTAAACAGGTGTCAGCCAATTAGAGGGTCAGAGGATCGATCCCCAAACTCTGCAGATGACATGTTGAAGTTTCCTTGGGCAAGATAGGCATCTCTACGGTATTCAAGTGTAGGCAATGTAGGATAATATAGTAGCTTCTTCCCTGCAGCTTTACAAGTCCCACTGTGATTTCAAGACAGCACTGTTGTCTGTAAAACACTCGACACACATTGAAATAAGCACATAACAATGTAGCTTAATAGGAGGCAACAATATCATAAAAGTAAATTTTTTCATAGCCTTTTAAAGACAACCCCACTATGATTGGTTGTCTGCTTAAGATAACAACATCTCATCCAATTATTAAAAGGCCATGTGAAGAAAATCGTTTGAAACCTTTTCTGTTCATACGCTGATGTAATCTGAGCTCACATGTTTCTTATAAACACTGAACGTATCGTGTCAATCAACCTAAGATGGGCCTCTTTCCAAGAATCAAAGACTTGCCTCTTTCAATTATTGACATCAAATTTCAATATGATTTACTGTCATGAGTGCAACAAGCACATCATTGCCAAAGCGTCAAGTTACAAGATTAATTACAGTTCATAAAATCAGTGAAATCGCAAAGCTACAAAACAAAAAAATGAAATGACATTTGATTAAAGCACAGAAATGTGACAACATTACCCATTGATGCTTGTTTTACTGCGACTGATGTTAAAAGATTTTTCATTGCTGAAAATTAGATGAAAAGATTGAATTTACTCTCAAAATTAGAGTCCGCCCACCAGCACGTGTAAAGCCACTAAACCTATTATACTATAAACACACGACCAACAAACAGTCTAGCACATGACTCCCCGTAATACCACAAGTTGTAATTTTTACACATGGGCTTTGTACAGAATCAACACATAAGCTTTCCAACTGCTGGTCGGATTCTGTTCACTTCAAACTGAGCCAGGCTAGCTGTTTCCAGTCGTGCTAAACTAAGCTAACTTATAAAAACATTACAGTGTAAATCTTCTTTGCTCACTTTTTGTAGGTTTCTAAGAAAGCAAGCTTATATTTCCCAAAATGTGGAACTATTTCATTGAAGTTCTTGGAAGTGGAAACATCCTCTGCTTTTAATTGAATGGGCTACACTATTAAAAGTTCACTAATGGGAAGAGACTTAATTATTTTCTGGGGGTAGACTATAAATACAGCTGGATACTAACAGGAGATGTGCAGCATGGCTTTTATTACCAACACTGCTGCAACATTTAAAATACTTTGAATCATTCTCTTATGGGAGGAAACAGTACAACACAAAATAAATATGGATAAAAGAGATAATATATTGGGAGTATCAAGTCTGTTTGTGGTGCATTTTCCCTTACCACAACATTATTTTACGGTTTCATAATAACTTATATCAAAGTATAACGTCTCTTCTTCTAATCATACTTTCATTTTGGATTCTCTAGGGAATTAAACTGTCCAATTATTTATTGTATCAAAAAGTGACAGCTCCAGGTGACAACAGCTAACACCAATAGGTGAGCAATGACACCTTGATTTGAACTGAAGCACCCATTGTCTTGTTGGGTGTCATTTAGCGGAGATGCCAATTATTGATCACAAACCAGAGGTGTAGTGGAGGATTAAAACAGTCCAACCTTTACATCTCAAGCTGATATATCTTTGGGAAAATGCATGACACATAAAAGGAAAGTTGGACTCTTGAGTGCTTTTCTGAATACACAGCAGAATTGATTCCCCCCCCCCCCCCCCCTTTATAATGGTAATTATTTACCTTATAGTGACCACTGACATATTTTACCCACATTAAATCTACAGCTGTCACACTGACTTAAAGCTTCTCATTGCATTATTCATATCTATATGTGCAGGTCCAATAGCTGTTTGTGTGAAGCAATTTTCTGGAGGCAAACTATTAAAATCGTGGCAAAAAAAAGCTCAAGGCAGAGAGAAATTATTTCAAGGTTATAGATTTATTTCAAAGGGAGGGGAAGGGGAGGAGGTACTAATGCCCGTGAGCTTGAAGATCTATAACCTCAATTATTCAGCAAGATATCAAAATGAGGATACCAGGTGACTTGGAGGCCAGTTATTAAAGGGGTCTGTGTTTGGGATTTAGAAAAATATGGATTTTTGTGTTGTTTTGAGGAGCATGATAGGGCCTGCCTGGTCGCACAAATCCAACCTGTGCGATTGATCTGGTGCAAATAACGTGAGAGATCTCCTGGCTGATCGATGAGGTGTCAATCCAGACAGTGGAGATAAAAAGCAGCATTTTTTTAAAAAGCTGTTTGCACATGCAGTCAGGGGAAAGTCCGGTCTCCTTGAAAGGGCGCATAGTGGGAGGGCAGCTAGAAGCACAGGGGGCTGATGGTCCTCTCTCTCATCAGCTTGTTCTGCACCGAGGAGGAATCCATGTGAAGGGGGAGGCGCCCGAGCGAGGCGAGCTGCACGACTGCTGGCCGAATTCAACAATTAACCTTGATGAACACAGATTGGTTTCACTTAACAGGCGCAGGTGCGTGGAGTTTGCGATCCGGCGCAGCTGAGCGACCCCACGTTCATGGCTGTGTACACTGACGCATTTGATGCCAAACACAGAAACTACACGGAGAGAGGATATTGCAGCTGATGTGTGTGTATGTGTGTGCTTTTCTCGACGGGACAGGATACACGTTGCAATGGGAGCCCGTCCGACACCCTTCCTCTTGCAGAATTCAGGAGCATCGCTGAATTGATTTTAATTTGGTGAATTTGACCGCCTTGTCATTGCCCAGCCCACCGGTCCCAGCAGCTGAAAGGCATCTTCGGAGACGAGCAAAAGGGGGGAGAAACTGTCCGCTCCACTACTCTCCATCTGCGCCCTGGACGGCTTGAAATGAGGAGCACATCCCGGCTGTGTTCCGTGTGAAGAAGGCAAGCGGGGCGGCAGTTTTTTTGGCTTTCAAGGACGCAAAGAAAGTGGCCACCGGCCGAGCTGAGAAGCATGGAGCGGGACGACACCGACACCGTGAGCGCGTCCAAAAAGACAATAATCTCGAAGATATTTAAAGTTCGTAAGAGGAGGGAGATGCTTTTCGTTCAGGTGTGCTTTATCTGCAGTGCCCTTTTCCTGGCGTGGGGCATGTCGGCGCTGTTGACCAAGACAGGTGAGTGGGGAGGAGGGGGGGGGGGGGGAAGACTGCTGAGATGCACAGGGAGCTGGGGAAGGAGCTAAAGTCTCAGAAATCTGCAGTGAAATCATGCACCCACACACACATCAGTATACTTTATAAAGCATCGATCACATGAACAGCATTATTCTCAAGGGCATTGGATCAGAGCGTTACATTTGTTTGCCTGTTCATATAGTAGCAGACCGAAAGTGAGGAAGCGATGCCTCTGATTGTGATTGTCCACCCGTATTATAAGATATATTAAAATGCAGCAAATAGCCCAGGATGCGTTTTTTGTACCCCTGACAGTCGAAAAAGTGAGCTGCACATGTTAGTGTCACGTTACAGTATCTTTCTTTTATCTCAGTGTTGGGTACATGTGTCTGTTTGTCCGTATATGCCGCAGTGTGCGCGCCGTGGCAGCGGCACGTTTTTAATTTGAGAGGCAGGCTCATAATCACGCACACCTCCTGCTCCACATGCACACAGCGATCATGTAACCGATCCCAGAACGAGCGCAATTTGGTTGTGGTTTGTTTGCTCTTAGCATTCTGCCCTATCTTTTTTGTTCTTGTTGGACATACACACACACATACACATACACACACACATACACACACACACACACACACACACAGGCACACACAGGCACACACAGGCACACACAGGCACACACAGGCACACACAGGCCCACCTTAATCACACTCGAGCATCATCACGCTTCCAGGTTTCGCATGGCCATCGAGGGATGGTGATTTTACGCAGAGGCCACTGACGGTCATTTAAAGGGTGGAGGGTGGGTGAGGATAAACACTGGGACGCGTGTGCTTGCTGAATGTAACAATATTCATAGCTTGATGCTCGAAGGGTGATCATGCGTGTGATTCCCCCATGCAGGCACACACACTCCAAACCACATGCCCTCCCATGCACACATGTCAAAACTCTTACCTCGGGCCCGTGCAAACAATGACACGCAGAGCATCACACATACACACACACACACACACACACACACACACACACACACACACACACAGAGAGTTATGTAAGCTATACTAGCAACCTTGATATTTTGCTGGTGAAGAATGATATCTGACACAGCAATGGGATCAGAGGTTAACTAACACCCCCCCCCCCCCCCCAGAACAGTGCAGGGAACACTAAAACTGTGCTGTGTCATCTTGAATTTGGCAAACAATTTTAGTGACTTAATTACTTTCCTTATAACGGGCATTATGGGGAGGACAAGGCTTGGTCTGTATCCCCCCCTCAAAGTGCTTCTAACCCTATGCCTCAGCAGACCTTGGCCTGTCCTGGGATCTGTCCATCTGCAACCACTTAGGCCCCGGGGCTGAAAGCAGCTGTAAATTCCCCACAACTCCTGCCTGACCGCAGATCTCTAACTGATGTATCGGGAGTTTTTATTAATTACATTAAAAAACAACAAGAGGCTTAAAAGATTATTCTGGAATGATATCATACAGTCGAGTGCGAATCTCTTATCTCCAAAGGCATGCACTGGGAGCCAAAGTAAGCCCCCCTCTGTCACTAATGGCTTGCCTTCTTTCATTTAATCAAGTTTGCCTGACCCACGCCGTGATATTCATGCAGGGTATTTGACAGAAGGCGTTTTTCCTTGTGAATACCAGCCTGTGTCCAGTGGTGGTTGTGCTGGGAATTCAAGGTGACACGAAAAAGAGAAGAGAACCAGAAATACTCTCTGAATCCACGAGACCCAAACCTCGCCATAATGAGATCTGTGTAATTGAATAGCTGTGGCCTTCTCATCTTTCATCCATCACAACAGGAACACGCATTTGTCATGTCACCGTAAAACCTGTGCCATGTGTTTGCCACCAATTTGATTGATAGTAGTATGGGGGGGGGGGGCAGTGTTGATGTGCTGAACGGTCCAGATGGATGGGATTTGATGTACTACTCCCGGGTTACATCTCCATAAAGAGGGGTGGGGCGCAACATGCTGTCGTGCATGCTGATGGTTGCTGTGTGCGGGTATGTGTGGCGGTGGCTGGACTATAACAGGTGTTTATGAGAAGCAGGGCTCAGCTCTGACAGGTAGCTGCAGCGGGATGACGCTGATGGGTGGGGTGGGGTGGTGGCAGCAGGAAGATGGACACGTATAAGTGTCTTCACCACAAAGAGAGATTGATGGATGGTTGTCCTTGGTCCTGAGCTGATTGGACAGAGCTGGAGGACGACATTACTGCTGTGCTATTGTTGCTTGTTGTCTCCCTCTGCTCCTCAATGTAGTCTCATAGTGCTCACAGCCTTATTCCATTTGGGTTTATTCCTTTATAAAGTAGATTTAGTCTCTGTAATGTAACTGCGGTTTTCATGATTTCAGGTTCGATATAGTGTAATACTGCTTATCTATAAAGTAACTTTAATGTATGTTAACCTTCATGGGCGGCTATTCTGAAGATTGTTTATTTTATTTTTTATCATTTTCTTTCTTGTTTTTTCTCACTCATAATAATTATAACAAAGTGCAAACAACTAATAATACAAAATAAATAAATAAATAAATAAATAAAATAAATAATAATAATAATGGTCTGAAACGATAATGAGGATATCTCCCTTTTTTTGCATTTCACGAATCATTGACTGTGGTTTTAAAGAATATTTAGCCTCTCTGTGGTAATCTATTCCAGATTTGATAACTCTAAGCCTCAAGACTTTGGTCTAGACCGTGCACCATGCAGTCTAGGGATTGCCTTTTTTGCATAGGAGTGTATCAGAGTTTTTAAAAAATGTTTTAACATTTAAAATTATGAAAAATCATTTGAAAATACTACACTTCATAGTCCTACAGCCCATACAAAACATTAAAGAGAGCAGAATGTCAGCCCGGGTCGCAGCATAGCAGTGCCACTGGTGTCTGCTGTAAAAAAAAAACACTGTGCTCATTGAACATGAAGAATTAGCCTGGACAATAAATCAACGTGAGTCATGCCTACAACACACTGCAGTCCATATTTTACCCCCAGCCTGCCTAGAAGTATTGACAGATCACGCCTTAATTGTTTCTCCATATCAGATGCCTGACAGAGAGCATGCACCGAATGACCCACGTTTCAAAGACATGCATGTCTGTTGTCTTCCAGGAAACTATAAGAATCTGTGTCTTAAACAAATGATTTCACAGTTATGGTCAGGTGACTCTAACTTCTTCAAGGAATTGTGTTTAGATTGACTGTTGAGCAAACTTTCTCTGAAAAGAATGAAGTCCACCGTATCCAACAAGTGAAACAGACCTTGTGCTTGACACATGACTTGTAACCTCCCCCCCCTTCACACCTTAAATTAGGACGGGTTTTACATTGACCATTGCTAGAATACAGTGAAACAAAAGACTGGAGACATTATAGGAGAGAGCTGGTGAGTGGGGAGGAACAGGTTGGAGCGATGACTGGAGGGTTTGGTCTTTTGGATCTGAGAGCTGTGTGAAGCAGCTGCGGTACAGTCTGCTTGTCCAGCGCCTGCTGATTGTCCGGCTGTCCAACTGTACTGGATTGAAAGCCATTTAATAAAGACATTGTGTGTGTGTGTGTCAGAACACATTTAGTCCAGCTAGTTGAGTTGAGACAGGGACATACTTGAAGGTTGGAGAGTAGAAAAAGAGAGGGTGCCTAAAAAGATATTTGATTTGTTTGTCAGGCGCTTAACATGCCACCTGCTAGATGTGTAAACAGACTGCTCATTTTCATTAAAAAAACTACTTTTATTAACTGTAACATGTTGGGTTAACAGCTTGTTCACTCAAACAACACAAGAAATCATTCTACCAAAAGTTATTATTAAATATTAACTCAAAGTGATTGAAACTACAAGTACATTTATTGTTCAATTAAATCAGATTATGAATCTGCAATTAACTTAATCCATTAATAATTTTTGTAATTTTTAAGCAAAAAATGCTATACATCTTTAGTTTAAACTTGTAAAATATCAGTATATTTAGGTTTTCTTTGTCGTTTCTTTGACAGTGACATTTGGTCAGAAAACGCAATTTAATAACAGTACCTTAGAGACTTTTCTTAATAATTTGTCCTTGGAAGTTGTTGTTTTCCATATTTGTTAGACCAAACCATTGATGAATGAATCGAGAAAGTAATGAGATTGTTCGCGTTAGTTTGCAGTCCCCAATTACTCATCAGCAAGCATACACCGATTCATTTCCTAACACTGAGATAATGTGATTTGACAGCTACAAAGTCTTTCACAACCTGCAAAGAAATTCCGAACAGGTAGCGTGAGCAACTTGTATAGGAATCAAACACAGACCATCTGTCCTCAGGGTATTCCCTAGTGATGCTCATAATGCGTATACTGTTTAATCATGCTGCTATAAGTTACTACTTTGTCAATTCAACATCAAATATGTGTGATATATTATGAAAATTGCATGTTTAAAACGCCGCTCAACTCGTTGGACTGATTTTACATAATACATTTGGGACAGCAGTAGTTTATTATGTCCTCATTATGGAGGCTTAAGAGCAGTTTAATGAGAAATGAAACTTGTACGCTCCTCCTCCCACTCTCCCGCCCTGAAACATAATGGCATGGCAGCTGCATGTTGCTGTGTGATTGCTGACGCCGGATGAAAATGTCATGTCTAAAACTTTTAAGAGATTAAAGCAAAGCAACCTTATTTGGATTAAGTACCGTGATCATGGACATGTTGGGTCATGAAACATACTCTGTGCTCGAGCAGCCATGTTAGTTTTGATGAGTTTCAATTTGCAAAATGGAGTGTCGAGGTTTCCTTGCATAAAAAATGAATTGTTTCTGCAGATATTTAGCATTGACTTCCAACATGACGTGTGATTATAAATGTGCATACTTGTCTACAAGCTTGTTTTATTCATGTTGAATGTGTGATAAGCAGAGCTTCTGTTTTCCATTGCAGGCCATGGGATGATCGTGGAGGGACATCCGAACCTCGAACACTGGGGAAGACGGCTAATGGCCTCAGTTCCAGACAATGAAACGGAGCAGAAGAACTGTTCAGCACCAGGTATGTTTTGGGATTAAAGATTCACTATCAATGTGTTTTAACCTACAAAAGATGACTTGACTGTATTTCATAAGAGGTCCCACATAGTGATGTACCAACAGATCGCCACTCGCCTCCACAGAGCATCTTGGCGTCTTTCAGGTCATTGTTTTGGTTTTACGCCGAACATAAATGCTGAATATCCCACTACACTCTACCTGCCCAACACCAAACAGCAGTCAAGCTCAGTTAGCGACTATCTACTGAACGTATAAAGCATTTAGAAGCTAAAGAGCCATATATTTCCCCCAGGAACAAAACAAGCTAAACGTGTGAGACGTGCATTCCTCATGCCGACAGAAACACTATTGCAAATGAATGAATAGGTTGTTTCATGTTGCTGCATCTATGAATAGGCAATGTTTTGCTAACATGTTTGCCATAATAACATTATGAGGTTTTAATGCTGTCAACAGCTTGTTAAACTGCCCCCAGGCTGACAAATAAATCAATTAATATGGCTTCAAATGAGCAATTTTCATCAATGAGATACAGTCTGTAGATAGTCAAGATCTCTTAGTTTCAAAAGCTGGGAACAATTCAACGTCAGAAACACAGACTGCTATGGGCAGACTATTTAAAAGGATGTCTTATTCCAAGACAAACGCTTTAATAACATTTGATAAAATCTCAAAGTAGCACTTAATATTGAACGTTTTTAAAATTATATCCTGCTTTGATTGGGTCTCTATTGCTCTGACTCAGTTGAGAATACTTGCGCTGCAATAAGCGCTGAAAGGCTATTAAAAGGGTTGGGTATTGATTATGCTGAAGCGTCTTTGGTATGCTTAAAGGAAGCAGCTTTCTCTATAATTAGACAACTAGACTCTATGCTGACAGTTTCACTGACACAGCTCACATCCTAAGCTGCGTTTCTTATGAAATTATTGATTGAAATGTAGCGGCAGCAATGCAAAGCCATGTCATCGGAAATTCTTAGTGTTTTACAAGCACATGGTTCCTTTAACTCTATATGATCCTGCATGACAGTGTATTAAAGGAGAGGTGTCATGGCCATTTCCACTGATCATAATGCCATTGTTGAGGTCTACTAGAATAGATTTATACTGTGCATTTTTCCAAACTCACATTGGTTTCTCATACAGCATCTCTGTAAACTACTTGTATTCACTGAATTTCACTCTCTGCCTTTAACGGCTCGTTGTAGCTCCAATAGCTCCAGCCCCCACCCTCCCTGTGAGCCCAGTGTGCTCTGATTGGTCGGGACGTTGTGAATCGCGCTGAGCTCCGTGGAGGTGTTGTTTCCTTGTTTAGGATACATAGCGAAACACAGCCAAACTCATCCTGAGCACACACAAACTCACATCCGAAGTAAAAACAATAAGTGTGGCTTGATATTGAGTAAGAAAAAGGTTGATAAACGCTGTGAGAATGGGTCTGCAGAGAGAATTTTGCCGCGATCCCAACTGTCTGTTATCAGCCTGCAGCCAGGGAGGAGAAATCAGCTGAGCTGCCTGCTCCCTGCACACAGATGTGTGTGTGTGAGGAAGTCCGTGGATCGGTCAATTTGGACCAATCAGCGGGGGCTTAACGTAACGGCTCCGCGGACGTAACGTAGCGGCTCTTCGGGATTGGTCCATTTCGTTCCGGGTACCGCTTGACATCATGCCGTACCCGGAACGAAATGGAAGACTCAAATGGGCAGTGACGTATCTCCAACGAGGCGTTTTGGGGAGGTATTTTCTGTGTTAGAGTTTTACTCGCTACAGGGTGTACTTTGAGGGTTTTGACTCTGCACACCGTTTACATGCATAAAAACCTTCATAACACACAAGGGGACGGGTAATAACCGGAAAAGCATGACACCTCTCCTTTAAGCATTGTAATAAAACGGCTTGGAGTACTTTTAGTAACATATGATACATATACATTATGTACTTCCTTCATATTAAATGGCTGAACAGGATTGACCTGCTCTTTCAAGCCTCTATATTTTAAGCCTTAAAGGGGCATTTTATATTGAAAGGAAACCTGTTGAACTAATTTGCTACATTATGTGCAACTTTAATATTCTGATTTGTATTACTATATATTTTGTCTCTCACTCAAAGGATGACACCAGGATGCAGACAATTTAGGAAGTAATTAAAAAAACGTACCAGTTTTGTCACAGCAGGAAGCATCCATCAGGGATTAGTGAATCATTGATTCTGTTACCTCCTAGTTTATACATATAAACATTAAAAACTAAAATGTTTACACTAATGACTCTACACTATTCAGTATTGTGGCCATTTGATGGTGAAGCTCTCTCAGAGTCACAGTGGGTCCTTATTGAAATGAGCGCCAAATGACAAGATTATGTGCTTGAAGTTTTTTTCCTAATCCTTTAGGATTACCTTCTTTTTTTTCCATTCAAATGTCTCCGGCACTGGAGGCACCAGACTGAACTTCACATTCCACACATTTCTCAACGGCTCTAGTTTCCTTTCGTCTGATCCCTCCACTGCTCTGCCTCGTCACCGTGATCTGATCATATGACTCTTTGTTTCCTGGGTCTTGGTCTGGTGAATAATCCCGTAATAGATAGATTTCAGGCACCTAAGCTGACCAGTTGCTTTGTTTCGCCCAGTCGCCAACAGCATGAGCCGCCCTGACTGACCTATCATACGTAGAGTAATGTTCATTATAGTATGTTCTGCCTCTACTGTGACATTTCTCTACGCTTTAAGGTTCAAAAAGGTCTTTATTTCTCTCATACTGCCTGTGCTGCAGCACCTCTTTTCACCCCCCCCCCCCTGAAAAATGAAGAAGCATAATAGGCCCCCCTCAAAAAACAATTGGACTTCTCAGTGATGTTGGATGTGTGTTTAGGACTTTTGTAGTAATGAGGGTCATTATCTTGAAACAAGACGAATAAAATCTCTGCATCAGTTTGAAGAAAGTGCCTCAAGTGGTGGAATCACACAATCAGCTCTTTGATGACATGATTCATGGTCAGTTATATCCAAAACATTCAGCAAACACAACTCTGGAAATCATCAACTATGAAAATCTTGCATAATTTGACACACTTGTCTCTGTAGTTCAAAAGACAGTCTGACTTATTGTTCATGTTGCAGTTGTCATCTGGAATGGATTTGCATGGTGTCTGTGGAAGGAGACAACATGTTGGAGTATGACAATCTTATTTATCACCTGAAGATTTCCCACAAACTTAACATAAGTCTTTGCTTCCAACTCTCACAGTGAGAATCATCTTTGTATCACAGATCTGTGGGTTTGTCCAAATTCCCCGGGAAGTTGTTTGTCCAGAACTGATGATTCAGCCAAATATAAGCTATGGCTGGGCTGTGAACCCCTCCAGGGGAACGCATTCACTGTGCATCCCAGCTCGATCGGATAAGAATGATTATAGGAGGCTTTTTGTTTTGTGCTGAGTGTTTGCAACATCTAAAGCTCACTTTAATTAAGCCACTGTTTGTAGAAGGATAGATCACATTAAGATAGCCCTGAGGCCTGTACTACGAAGCCGGATTTTTGCTTAGCGAGGTAACTTCAGGGAAAACTCTGGGTTTCCGTTCCTACGACGCTGGTTCTCTTCTGGTGTGTCTGGGCCTACCGGGCTAGATCTCCATGGTAACTTATGCTGAACGGCAAACCTGCTCCAGAGCAGGTTAGGTTGCAGGATAAGAGATCAACTCAGTGAAAGCACCGCCTGCTGACCAATCAGAGCTCAGTGTGCGGAGTTTAAAGCTATCAAGTAATATTACAGGATAAAGGAAATACAGAAAATCTGCCGCTGCAGGAAAGACGGCCGGCAAAAATCAACTGACTGTGTGAACGTGAACATTTTATAGAATATCCCCTCCCATCTTCAGAGCAATCTGACTAATATAACATTAGCGTTAAGAAATCTTACTTAAATATCTGCCACAACATAAGTAACCGGATCAGAGTAACATTAAGTACAGTCCGCGGCACTGAGTGCAGACGTCATGTGTCCCATTATCATTCATATCACATTATAATGTATCATATATTTCCTTATCTGAGTCAGCTTCTTGAGCCGTATCTGGCCGTGCAACACTTACAGTGTCACATACTGTATGCAGAAGTATTATTTTAAGCAACACATTAAGTTGACGAAACACTCAAGTCTTAGACGGGGCAGTGATATCATAAACCTGTTAATGTACGCATTCAAACACTTTTTCTTTTACCAGCTGTATTCACCTTGCAGGTGCAGCTATGTGGCTTTTATCCTGGATAAGGTGTTTAAGTCATGGATGTTTAAAGTTTAACTTCTTCATATTTGTCTAATATTATAGTTTTCTTTTCATTCAGGAAGTATGACGCTGCACTGTCAGTACGCTTGTCCATGTTTGTGATTGGTCAAATGTTGCTAACCCCGCCCCTTTCATGTGAACGCGCACTCAGCCGGACAGAGAAACCCTGGCTTGAGTTACCGAGTTGATAACCAGCATCGTAGGACCGCTTAGCGAGATCGCGTTTGTTTTGGGTTAGGTAAGCCAGATAACTCAAACGTATCCAGGGGTATGTTGAACTGGATTCGTAGTACAGGCCTCTGGTCCCTCTGTTTTTCCTTATTATTTCCTTGATCAGTAAAGGAGCACTCTGGGTTCACGGGGTGCTAATGTTTTTGTTTATCGTGAGATGTGGGCATTCATCACAAGTGTCTCTTTTATTGGCCTTTGACGAATTACCCCCAAACTAACAGTTGTTGTGCTTCTGCTGAACTGCAACGAATGCCTATAAAGTACAGAGAGCTAAAACACTGAGAAAGGGACTGATGCATCCTCTGGTTACTGTTATTTAACCGTCACATGGAGACCTTGAGTCACACCACCCCTTGAGATGTGTTTCCCCTGTAGCGGTCCCATAACAAATGGAACAAATGCACTCTTTACTTTTTTTTAATCTAAATTTAAGAAGTTGCAAATAACTCTCTGGAACAAAATGTTTTATTACTGAATTCA